GTAGGGCATTGGGGTGGGGGGGTGAGAACTCGGGGGGGGGGAGCGTACTGGTTCCAGGTGGGGCTAGAAATGTGTGGTTCAGGGTGCAGGAGAGAGCTCTGGGTGGGGTAGAGGATTGAGGTGTGTGTGTGTGTGTGTGTGTGTGAATGCTCTGGTGGGAGGTATGGGGTCTGCGTTGGGGCTTGGGATAAGGGGTTTGAGGTGCAGCAGGGGGCTCCAGGTTGAGGCAAGGGGTTGAAGTGTGTGTGTGTGGGGGGGTACAAGGTGTGGGCTCTGGGAGCTAGTTTGGGTGCAGGAGGGGACTCCAGAATGGGGTGGGAGGATTTGGGAATCCAGTGGTGTTTACCACAGCTCTCAGGAAGCAGCCCCCAAGTTCCAGCATTCCCTAGGCACAAGGAGAAGCCAAGGGGAGCTGCAGCACCAGCACTCGGGGCAAGCAGGAGCAGCATGCAAATAGACTTGTGTAGTCCAGGGGAGGAGCCAGTAGTTATGGTACAAGTGGGTACCAATGACTAAGAGAAGGATATCAGCGAGGCCTGGAGGCCAAATTAAGGGTGCTTTATAAGACATTGAAGTCCAGGACCTTCGTGATAGCATTCTTTGAAATTAATCCATCTCCATGTGCAGGGCCAGGTAGACAGGTAGACAATTCATGGATGAGACGATGGTGTAGAGAGGAAGAGTTTAGATTTATTAGACACTGGGGGGAACTTTTGGGAAAGGGGGAGCCTATATAGGAAGGATGGGCTCTACCTAACCCAAAATGGAACCAGATTACTAGCACTTCAAATGAAAAAAGGTCATTGAGCTGTTTTCAAACTAAGGGCCGGAGGAAGCTTATGGGTGGAGGAGCACATGGATCGGACAGAGACATATCTTAGAGAATCTCCATTTATAGATCCTCTACTGTATCCTAGTAGGAGAGGATGGAAGATGGTAAAATATGGATAAGCTCTGATGAGAAACAGTCAAATGAAAAAGAGTCCCCTTCAATCATGTATTTTAATGGCAGCTAGCAGAAAAGTAACCAAGTTTTTAAAGTGTTTCTATACAAATACTAGAAGTCTAAATAATGAAATGGGTGATCTTGGCTATTGCAGGCCAGTAGGTCTAACTTCAGTACCAGGCAAATTGGTTGAAACTACAGTAAACAGAATTGTCAGACGCATAGATTAACATAATTTGTTGGGGAAGAGTCAGCATGTTTTCTGTAAAGGGAAATTGTGCCTCACCAATCTACTAGAATTCTTTGAGGGGGGCCAACAAACACGTGGACAGGGTGGATCCAGTGGATATAGTATACATAGATTTCCAGAAAGCCTTTGACACAGTCCTTCACCAAAAGCTTTTAAGCAAAGTAAGCTGCCATGGGACAAGAGGCAAGATCCTCCGAGTGACTTGTTAAAAGATAGGAAAGAAAGGGTAGGAATAAATGGTCACTTTTTAGAATGGAGAAAGTGGTGTCCCTCAGGGGTCTGTACTGAGACCAATCTTAATCACCATGTTCAGACATGGATTATAGGGATGCAGTGTAGACATACCCATAGTTCAGACATGGATTGGAGAAAGGGGGAAACTATGAGGTGGCAAAATTTACAGATGATACAAAACTGCTCAAGATAGTTAAATCCAATGCTGACTCTGAAGATTTTCAAAGGGATGTCACAAAACTAGATGATTGGCCAATACAATGGCAGATAAAAAACATCATCCCAATGATACGTATAAAATGATGGGAACTAAGTTAGTTGTTACTACTCAAGAGAGAGATCTTGGAGTCATTCTGGATACTTCTACTCAAGCAGCCAACCAACGTGCAGTGGCAGTCAAAAAAGCAAACAATGTTAATAATCATTAAGAAAGATATAGAGAATAAGACAGAGAATATCTTATTGCCTCTATATAAATCCATGGTACACCCACATCTTGAATACTGTGTGCAGATGTGGTCGCCTCATCTCAGAAAAGATATATTGAATTTGAAAAAGGTTTAGAAAAGTGCAACAAAATGATTAAGGGTATGAAATGGCTGCCCTTTTGAGGATAGATTAATAAGACTGGGACTTTTCATCTTGGAAAAGAGTCAACAAAGGGGGATATATAGAGATCTATAAAATCATGACTGATGTGGAGAAAGTAAATAAGGAAGTGTTATTTATTCCTTCTCATAATACAAGAACTAGGACTCACAGAATGAAATTGATAGGGAACAGGTTTAAAACAAAAGGAAGTATTTCTCCACACAATGCACCAGCAACCTATGGAACTCTTTCTCAGAGAATGTAGTGAAGGTCAAGGCTGTAACAGCATTTATAAAAGACCTAGCTAAGTTCATGGATGATTGATTGGTCAATTAATGGCTCTTTGCCAGGACGGGCATGGATGGTGTCTCTAGCCTCTGTTTGCCAGAAACTGTGAATGAGCAACAAGGGATGAATCACTTGATCATTGCCTGTTCTGTTCATTACTTCTAAGGCACCTGGCATTGGCCAGTGTCAGAAGACAGGATACTGGGCTAGATGGATCTTTGGTCTGACCCAGTGTAGCTGTGCTTAAATTTTGTATGAAAGACCCTGTGGTACTTATCTGCCTTTTTTTTTTATTCATACCTGTGACTCTTTTGATAACACTTAGAGCAGTGGTGCGCAGCACGTGGGTTGCGACTCCCAAGGGGGTCGCAGATGTCTTCCTGGGGGGTCATGGCACTTAGATCTGGCTGTTGGCAGCCACACGGCACTTAGATCCAGCTGGCCGGGGGTTGGGTGCGGCTGTGTGGCGCAGCGCTTAGATCTGTCCAGCCGGGGGCTGAGCCCGGCAGTTGGCAGCCCCGGCGGCATGGGGGTCGCAGATCAAAAAAGTTGCGCACCACTGACTTAGGGCATGTGCTATGCCATAGCAAGAACTGAATCTAACTGACTGGCAAAAAGATTGTGCACCCAAATATATGTATTGTCTGGTGACCTGAATCTGATATTTGTGTCAATGTGTTGGTCCTTTTCTCTGAGCAGCATTTCTCAATATGTGGTATTGGGTTTCTTCTAAAGAATTTTTCATTGCAATGATAGGTGTGTGTGTGTGTTTGTTCTCACTGATGAGACAGCCGGTTAATTGCAATCCTCTCCACCCACTTTTTTCAGTGTATCTGTCTTTGTGTTTGATTAGCAGATTGAGGCCAAATTGTTCTAGTTAAAGTAAGCATTACAATTCCTTGTTTCTTAAAATATATCTGAACTTTGTCATGGGAGCCTGAATTTCTTTGGTCTAAGCACTAATACAAACACACGCATAATAATACTTTGGAGTTCTATAGCATCATTTGTTGAATGAGTTGTTTTGAGTATTTCAAATTGTGTTTATAAAATGAGACTAGGGATACGGTAACTAGAATCATTCCCATATTCCAGATGGGTGAATATGGGCAGGGCGAGGCTTTGTGACTTGTGGGGTCACAAGGAGCCAGTGGCAAAGTTAGGAGTAGAAACTAAGATACAGATACCCACATTCTATTTTTTCCATACTCTGAATACTACAATGCTTCTATTTGAGAAGTCATTGGGGATATTGAATTCCCAGCATCTTTAGGTTTATTTACTGTGCCAAGTTCAAGGATTCTGGCCAAACCCCTGTTGACATCAACAGGATGTTGGCATGACTAAGAGTGGCATGATTTGGTCTCAGTTTGCTAAACAAGGATGAAGCGAGTGTGTGTGTCGGGGGAAGGAGGACTGTGTGGCGCAGAGAGATGGTAGGAACCTAATAAATATCTGACCAGAGTAATTAGGAAGGGGAAACTTGCCAATTTTTTTGGCTTGGTCACCAATTTACAATTTAGATGAATCCAAAGATACATTAAGTCGGGGGGTTCAAACTTTGGGTCACATTGCATTCAGTGGATACAGTTTGTCCTTCCCAACCTGGAGTTTGCTACCCCTCCCCTCCTAACCTCTAGCTCCTTTTGTCCCCCCTCCTATCCTGCCATCCTCTCCTGTGCCTCTCAGTGGAGCCAACAGCTTCTGCGGGTCCCTGGGCAAGAAGATGTGTGTGGGGGGGAGGGAGGGAAGGGGCAGAGCTGAGGACAGAAGGGGTGACGCTGCGGGCAGCCAGCCCTCAGTGCTGCCTGGAGTGCGGCGTTGCACTCTGGAAGTGATTGAAAGGATCCGGCGCTCTGGCAGTTGCTGCTGCTTCTGCTGCTGCTGCAGGAACAGTGGCATCTGGAGCCCTGGGCTCCTTTGAATTGCTGGGCCCCGAGGCAATTGCCTCCTCTGCCCTCTTCCCCCATCAGTGGGCCTGATCCCTTTACCTCCCTCTTTGAGCCAAACCTATCAAGTTTGGCATGGCTTCACTAACTAGTTAACTCACTTGGATACTGTACCACTCTGAGAAATGTTCACTGGACTAAGAAAAGAGTCATGAATGCCATTAAATGTTTAAACAGCTCCACCCTGCTGTGGCAGATATCTCAGTGGGTTAATCATGAACACAAACAGACTCGGATGCCAGCTGTGAAAAGAGACAACCTGCCTCAGGACTACTTGCTGAAGACCTGGGTCGGTAATGGATTATTGACAGCGTACTCCAGCGAGAATGGAGAAACTAAAAGCAAAGTAATGTGCCTTCTATATTTCCATATTTGACTCTGAGAATGACCAAAAGAGAGACAAATGAGGTCTAGGAGTATGTGTAGAATTGCTACTTGTCAGTCGGGTATTGAAGTGAAGGGTCTCAGGTTTCATTTATGCTGGCAATATTTTTGGTAGACTTTGTTTAATGTTTTTAAATGTCTTACAAACAAAGGGTAATTAATTCCACTAAACTGTAAATAGGGAGAATGTTCACCTTGTCTGTGCATATTTTATTTTGCTTTAAGGATTTTTTTCCTGTTCACAGTTATTTAATCATGTAAGATGTTTAGGACCAGACTAGGATCCCTTACCATGCTGGCAGTTATTCACTCAATTAGTCCTATTAAAGTCAATGAAATTGTATATATAACTGCTCCCAGTATGAGTAAGGGGTCACAATCTAGCCCTTAGAGATGTTTCCTCCAGTCTACACTCATTGCTGTCAGTGATGTTAATGGGAATTCTGTGCACAGATCAAGAGGATAACACAGAACAAGTTAATACTTGGAAGAATGTATAAAAAGCCCCAAGACATATTGTTCATTTGGATGCTCATACTCAGCTTTCAATGGGCTCAGCTCAGCTGCCATTCCTTGTTTTCAGTGGGGTGCCTCCGAGGACAAAATTCGTCCTTTGTTTTTTTACTGACCACATAGCAAGTGGTAGATCTTCAGCTGATGGCAATTGTCATTGGTGCAGCCCACCAACTGAGAATCTGCACTTGCATGTGATTGGGATAGGGCGAAAGATTTTACTGGTTATTAGAGGTATGGGGGTTGTTTCTCAATCATGATAACAAGACTTAAACGCAGTATCTGGTTTGCAGCGTATTTCCTTGCTTTTATCTAGTCTAATAGCAGAACTGATTAGGATTTTAGGGGCAAAATTTTGCTTTCAGTCAATTGTGTAAATCCAGAATAAACTCATGACTTCAATTGATTTACTCCAGATTTACATCTGTGTAAGTGTGAGCAAAATCTGGTCCAAGGCATTCAGATGATTTGCCTGGCTATAACCAGTTTGCTTTATTTATGAAGAAGAGAAAGCTGTATTGAATCTGCTTCATCTACTTTCCTAACTGATGCATCCCTCCACTCCAGCTCATCTGAAGAAGTGGGTTTGCCCATGAAATCTCATGATACTATATATATATTTGTTCATCTCTAAGGGTCCATCTACACAGCAGGGCTAAAGCTACACAACTTCAGCTATGTCAATTGCGTAGCTTAAATTGAAGTGGGCTAAAAGCCAAATTAAGCTATCCACAGCCGTGATTTCCAGCCCCTGGGCCGTGGCCCGCTGCCGGACTGTGGCAGTCCGGGGGCCGGGTCTCCTCCCAGCTGTGAAACAACACTCCCTGTGTGTCAGGAGGGCCACATAGAGCTGCTCCGTACAGGCCCTCCCGCCATACAGGGAAATGCTCTTCCCCAGCAGGGAGGAAACTCCTCCCCTGCCTGATGTTGGTTGGGTGAGAGGACACGCTTCTCCCAATAGCCGCGTAGGAGAGGAAGTGCTGGATAGTTTATCCCAGCCTAGGACCCCAGAGCTGCCGCAACATGGGCAGCTGGGCAGGGCTAGGTGAGGGAGGTGTGGCAGGCACTGGGGGCTCCGGGAGCGGGGCTAGTGATGGGGGGCTATGGAGGCTGGGCTAGTAGGGTGGGAGGCTGGCACTGGGGGATTAGGATTCTGAAATCAGTGGTGGTGCTGGGGGTAATGGAAGGGTGGGAGGGCTCTAGGGGTTAGGACTGGCGCTGAGGGCTCTGGCGACTGGGCTTTTGGATGTACCGGCAATATTCTATTTGCATATTCGCACATTCATAATTTGCATAATCAGGGCTCGCCAAGCGGTGGCGAGCCCCACTCACCAGCTGCGCAGTTTCACGCAGTTCTACGTTCTGCACATGCGCAGATCGCTCTGTGCCGGCTTTTCCGGGTTGTAATCTACTCGCCACGGGGGAGTAGATTATATTATTTGTTGAGCCCTGTGCATAATGAATATGCAACTATGCAAATAAAATGTTACTGGTCCACCAAAAGTTTGTGAATGGGTTTGCCAGTCCCTGGTATCAAAAAGGTTGGGACCCACTGGTCTACACAGCAGGAAGTCCGAGAGAGAGCACTCTTCCTTCAACTTCCCTTACTTCTCGTAAAATGAGGGATAAGGAGTCGGAGTAAGAAGTCCTCCAGCTCAACACTATTTTGAAATAAAGGCTTGTAGTGTAGACGTGCACTATATTATTTTGGAATAACTTTAGTTATTCCAAAATAACGCTGCTGTGTCGACTTACCTGGCCTAACGTGTCACTGGGCTACTTGTTGTTTTTGATGCATTGTAGGCAGATATGAGTTAATACAGGGGTTGTGTTCACCTAAATCTTCTAAAACAATTACTTTTAAATTTTTATGATATTAAATTTGTTTTTCAAATGGAGAGAGGCACCCAGTACTTGAGTCTGTTATCTATTGCTCAGTGGGACTGATCCATGCCCAGTGAAGTTGATGAGCATTTCTGTTGACTTCACTGAACTTTGTATCAGGCTGCATACTAAAGAATGCAAAGTTTAGAGTGGAGCAGATTTTAAGAGATTTTGAACTACCTAGCAGTCCTGGAATTTTTTTCAGAAGACTTTCCACATGTTTGTCTTAATGTATTTCATTATGATGAACAAGTGGTAGCTGATTTATAAGAACCATTTATAGAAACCATTTCGTCTAACTCAAAGTGGCGTGTGTGGCAGTTCAGGACAACTGCTCCTGCATTCCTCCTCTGTGGTCCCTTTAGGGCACCCTTTGTATTTCCTGGCCAGGGGAGCCAACAGTGTATGCGGGTCCCTGGGCAAGGTGAGGAGGGAAGCCCGGCTCTGCTCTTCCAGAATGGGTGCAGCTTTGGGTGGAAGAGGTGGGTCCAGAGGCAGCCACCCTCCAAGCTGCCTGGAGCATGGCCCCCCTACCCAAACCCTCAGAGCCCCATGGAATGCACAGCACAGTGCTCTAGCGGTGATTTAACAGGCTTGGGACTCTGGCTGCCTCAGTAGCAGTGGCCACAGCCAGGAGCCCAGGGACCTTTGAATTGCCAAGCCCTGAGGCAACTGCCCTCTTCACCCCCTCCACCCTCACACTGACAACGGGCTTGCACCTGGCCAGAAGAGGGTGGCAGAATGGAACGGAGCAGCCTGCTGGGTCACTCTGACTCCCATGATCACAATGAGTGCAGGAGGGGGGACTGACCAGGCCCTGCGGTCATACTCCAACTTGCATTGCTCCACAACCCATCAGGGCCCACCCTGCAGATACAGCCTGTCTTTTGGGGATTTGATTTATTTGTATAAAATTTATGGCTGTCTTGCATGGTGGTATTTTCACTTTGGAAGTAGATGCCGTTGCTGGATATATTTCTGAGATGATGGTCATATGTAACTAGAGCTGACCCATACATTCTGATCTTAGTTGTACCACTGCATGTCTGGAGTAATGCCACTGAAATCCATACTTACACCAACATAACAGGCAGCAGAAGTTGGTCCAATAAAAATAAATGGTGCAATTCATGTTTAGTAAGAGGCAATATTTAGTGTTAGCTTGCAGCATTAAACTTTTTAACCAAAAATAGTGTGGAATTATAACACCCCCCCCCCCAAAAAAACTGCTGCCATCTCTGGATTTCCTTTGGTATCCCATTTTCTATGTGCCCATCACGAAGATTGTAAGCCCTTCGGGACAAATATTGCCTGCATTTCTGTGTGCACTGTGCCACACTGAGCACACTGTTTGTCTTTCAAAAAAGGAAAAATGGCTGTAAATGAGCTTGTCACTACTGCAGGTGCGGAGTATTCACAACAGAAACAACACAGAACAATGAAGAGTGAGTAGGACCCCACTCGGCTAGTTCTGTGACCTCACCAGGAAATGTCTGTCTAACTTGGCACTGTTGCTATGCTGGGCAAGGTTTCAGGTTTCACAGTCAACATTCAGCGAAGTGAAAATCTCCACACGAGTCTCCAGTTAGCTCTAGCCATTCAAAGGGGTGAATAAATAGGCATGGGCTATTAATGCTATTAGCACTAAACTGGGTGACTGGGCATCAAAATTGCACATGAAATTCAATATAGATAAGTGCAAAATAATGCACTTTAGAAAATGTAATCCCAACTATACATATAAAATGATTGGATTTACATTAACTGTTATCACTCAAGAAAGAGATCTAGAAGTCATTGTGGATAGTTCTCTGAAAACATGTGCTCATAGCACAGAGACTTTAAAAAAAGAATATTTAGGAACCATTAGAAAATATGGTAAGTAAGTAAACATCAGAATGCCACTATATTAATCTGTTGCACCCAAACCTTGAATACTCCATGCAGGTCTGGTTGCTCCACCTAAAAAAAAAAAAGTATTACATTGTAAAGAGAAGGGCAACAAATATGATTATGAAAGATTTAAAAAAATCAGGAACTGTTCAGGTTAGTAAAAAGACAATGAATAGGGAAGAGGGAATTCTATAGAATAGAGGTCTATAAAATCATAAAGGATGTGGAGAAAATGAATAGGGAAGTATTATTTACCCCGTCACAAAACACACAAACCAGATGTTATCTGATTAAATGAATAGCAGCTTTAAAACAAACATAAGGAATTACTCCTTCACACAACATCCAGTCAGCTTGTGGAGCTCATTGCCAGGAGATGTTTTGAAGCCAAAAGTACAGCTGGGTTCCAAAAAGAATGAGTAAGTTCACAGAGGACAGGTTCATCAGTGACCATTAGTCAAGATGGCCAGGGATGCATCCCCATGCTCTGGGTATTCCTAATCTGATTTCAGAAGCTGAGACTGGAAAATGACTTGATAATTGCCCTGTTCTGATCAGTCCCTCTGAAGCATCTGACACTGGCCACTGACAGAATCCAGACTAGTAGGTTAAATGGACCATTGATCTGATCCAATATGGCCATCAATGCATCAAATTACTGGATGTGCCACC